GAAGACGTGAGATAATGTGCCTGTTGCTTAAGTTGTTCTTAAAGGTAGGTTTTTGTTACCTACCACCAAAAAGCATACCTCATCGATACAGGAAGCTGATGCAGTGGTTCAGTTGAGAGGCATATAGACCTGACTGTTCTGCAGTGTTCATTCATGAACTCTGTTCTCAAGTGAGAAAACACTAGGGCTGGTTTGGAATCTCAGGGATGTGAAAGGCATGAGTAGTTTGAAAAAGTATATTCGAAAGGTGGAAAATCAAAAATTATATAATGTTATCCACAACTTCATATCTCCTATTTATAGTTAAGGAAAACCCCCAACCTCTTGCTATAGTTTTTGTAACATAAGCTACAGAAAGTAAAGCTGACAAACTGTTGACAGGAAGGGCTGTGGACTTGCAGAAGACAGAGAGGATAATCCCTGGGAAGGGATGTGTGGTTAACAGGGTGTGTGATGAGGCCAGGCATGGTGGCTTACACCTGTAATCCTAGCACTTAGGGAGGCTGAGGCGGGTGGACCACCTGAGGTCAGGAATTCGAGACCAGCCTGGCCAACATGGTGAAACCCTGTCTCTACTGAAAATACAAAAATTAGCCAAGCGTGGTGGCTCATGCCTGTAATCCCAGCTACCGGGGAGGCTGAGGCAGGAGAATCGCTTGAACCTGGGAGGCAGAGGTTGCCGCAGCACTGCACTCCGGGCTGGGCAACAGAGCGAAACTCCATCTAAAACAAACAAACAAAAAAACCCCAACAGGATGTGTGATGCATTTGCTAGTGAAATTCTATGGCATATATGTGGAGTCATGGTTCCCTGAGGTGTGTCTAGCCATAGCACTGAGACATCTTATTTAATGTCTGATGTAGTTTTGAAATATACAGTCAAAAAGAGGTGGGAGTAGGTGGGCAGGGGGCCTTGGTGCACTTCATTAACTCACTCTATCAATGGACATCTCAGTTGTTTCCATTGGCTTCTTCTGATACATTTTTTGTAATGTCTGAATTTTGTATTATATGTTACTTTTGTGGTCAGGGAAAAAGGAATGAAAACCAGGGGTTTGAGGCGGGGAGGCAGGGGAATAAAAAGGATGTTTCCTTAATTATTAAAGAGCCCTTGCAACTCATTAAGAAAAAATAACTCAAAGATGACAGTTATAGCAAATATTTATTGAGCATTTGCCATATTCCAGGAACATGGTATTTTGCATATAATAATGTATTTAATCTTCACACCTATCCTATAAGGTAGGTACCATTATTATCCCCATTTTGTAGATGAGGAAACTGAGACACAGAACGGTTAAGTAACTTGCCCAAAGTCACAGGCTTGTAAGTGGCAGAACTGGGATTGGAATCCTACACTTTTAACCACTACTACCCTGCCTTGCAAGAAAAATAAGAAAAGGGCATGAACAGATG